ATAGAAGGATGGAGGCGTTCAGTGGCAGCGCCGACGAACTGAAGTTCTTTATTTTCCTCCTCTTTCATTTGCGTTTAGCTCTTTTTCTTTCACACGTACTCCTGACGTTAGTCCAACCATCTGCGTAGTTTACGGTTTGTTTTCTCAGACGTGAAGCTCCAGATGGTTACAGTCAAAAAAACGTTTATGCAATGAAAAGACAGCCCAGACATTTTTGACCGTGCGTCCATCATTAGATCCTGCACACCTGCCAGGTGCTGATCAGAACGTTGTTTTTTTAAATTCCTCTCCATCTCTTCTGAGGGCTGCAGCCGAGAAGTATTATTTAATTTGATGAAATGTCGGTGGTTGTGCTCGTCGTGGAGTCTCGCGTTGTAGCAGAATATCTGACGTTTGAGCGTCTGAAAGCTGAGGTTTTGTTCTTCCATGATCTGATTAGAGAACGGCTCGGTCTGTTGGATGGAGCGAAAATAATTGCTCAGAGTGGAATATGCAGATGTGAACGCTGATGCAGCTTTAGCTACTGATGTATTCATTCAGCTCAAATACATCTGTCTACAAGGTTTGGTTATTCTAGAATTGCAGGAATCTTCTGATCTGTGCAGCTGCTGAATTTAATTTAAAATAAATCTCCCGTTGTAACATTAACTCAGACCTGTTTTAACGTCCAGCCGCTCGAAAACATCGAAGAACATTTTAATCTGAACGTTCTAATGAGCACCGCTTATTTTAAAGTGAAGTTTGAACTTTGCCAAAACTGAATGAATAATTTTTACCTGTTTTTATTCAGCAGATGTGCATCGTTAGTCGAATAAGCACAAGATAAAAATCTAAAGGATTTAAGGGCTAGGTTATGGTTTTCAGCTGATCTGAACTTAATGAACGTGACTGAAGAAGGAAGTTTGTAAAATCCAGGAGATAAATGTGTCGTTTCTATTCGTCTCGTTAAGACGGGGGTTGTTGAAGCAGAACTGGATCATGTGATAAAATTCACCGAGTTAAGAATAAAAGCACGCCGTTTGTCAGCATGAATAACCTGAACTTGTAATTTTTCATCATGTTTACATTGTAGCTTTTTTTTTTCCTGTGAGATTGTTAAAATTGTATTTTCTCTGAAGAAAATCAATGTTTTGAAGCATTGAAATGAGATTTATTATTCTAGTATTTGTCAAAGGAGTGCGGTGTTTGCTGCCCCCTGGTGGACAGTCTGGAACAGCAGCTGCCTCCCATGTTTGTACTGGGATATGTACCGTCTGTACATACAGTGTTTGCATTTTGCAGCATCATGTGCAACAAAGTGATTCAATAAATATGAGAATGTTTACTTGTGGCTCTGCAGGTGATCCGGTATTTAAATCAGTTCAGAAGTGCTTTGGAGCAAGGCAGGATTTCCTGAAAGATGCTGGGAAAACCCTCAACCCCATTAAGGTCAGATCCCAGAGAAAAACGAGCAAACTGCGTTTTGAAAACGTTCTCAGTCATTTTAATTATTTAAATTATTAATCTTTGATCGAAGACATCTTGTGCAGATGTTCAGAGAGGTAAACGTTCACGTTAAGTAACATTCAGTCCTTTTTGTCATGGCTTATGAAATGCACTGCGGTTAACAATATGTGTTTCCTGTGACCAAAAACAAGTAGAAATCAGGTCTGCTTAGTTTCTTACAGTTGATTTATTAAAAAGAGCCAAATGAATGTAAGGTATCTGGAAAAAATGTAAAAATTAAAGTTTGTGGCACAATTTTATTTCCTCCTAAAATGCATAGATGAAAAAAGCAGCCATGGTGAAGACTCCAGTAATCCCTTCATCTAAGGAACAACTTTTATTTAACGTGTTGTGTCTTGTTCTTTTGATTAGGGTAACTCTGAGTTTTTTTAATTTTTTTTAAATATTGTGTCGCTGCATCGTTTGTTTTCACACATGCACTTTTATGATCAGGACGATTAGCAACAAAGATCATGTTCTCATACAATTTAACTTCCAACCGGTTAAAATATACAAATGTAGCCAATAATAAAGTTTTATCTGCCTTTATACATTTTGAATTAAATTAGTTGTTTTTCTCTCTTTGTAACATGTGGAGTTTACATGTTCTCTTCATTCAGGTCCTCCCTAACACATGAATTGGAAACTAAACTAGGTGCGAGTGTGACTTGGGGACCCTGTGATGGACTTGTCCTGTCCGGAGTCCACCCCACCTAAATAAAGATAAACGGAAGTCCGTCTGCACACTGACAAACCAGATTAATCAACCCTTGGAGGAGCTACGTGTTGCAGAGCCCTGATGTGGAGGAGCAGTTAACAGAATTAATGTTGACAAGTCTCGTGTTTTGTGCTTCCACGTTCATTCATTGAACCATGTTTAATTAACTTGAGCCAAAATATGAAGAACCTCAGTTTGTGTGGATGTAAATTGTTCTGGTGATGTTCACGTCGTCAGTTTGGTGTTGCTGCTCATGAGACGGTTTGTTTCTTCGATCCATAAACCTGTAAATGTGCTGACATTTGGACAAACAAACCACAGGCACAGATTTCTGTCCACTTTATTAAAGACCTGCGGGAGGTTTGATCCTCTGGGCGAACAGTAGAAAATGTTACATCCGTGTGACGATTAGACCAAACACGACGGGGAGCGTTCCTCCGTGAAGACGTCGCATCTCAGGACTTTTGGATCAGATGATTACGTTTAAAATGTTTCAGTGTTGGGGAAACAGACACCCACATTAGATCCAATTTAAAATGTTAACATAAAGCTCATTAGTTGAATTTACAAGGTGACGGTGGGTTTGTATTTTGAGGTTAATGTAGCTTCAAGTGCTACAGCTTATTAATGGTACCAGATCATTTCACATTTTAATATTCGCTGGTTTACTGGCAGATTTCCTGTAAAGAACCAATTGTTCATCCAAACATGCCTTTTTTTTTTACTGCCGTCGTTTAGGAGCCGAGGAATAAAATCAAAGAACCGATCGTCCCAGACACTTTCACATCTTCCTTTGAATGTGGGCACGTACGGTCAAACACAAATCAGAGGACGTTCTCTAATTATTTCAATTTTTTTTTTTGTTGTTCACATTTGCACGGACTCACCCCACCTCCAACTTGTAGTTCAGATAAAATGCTTCTTTAAAATATCTGTCATTTTACATAAAATCAAGGAAATCCTCCTCTGTTCTATGAGCAAAGCTGCATTAACTCCAATATTTCCCACTAAAATATAATCCCAACGTAGGTTTAATTTGGCAGCGTTTAACTGAGAAAAGCATCAAAGAGGAGCACCTGGAAAATAATCAACAATAATGAAATTGGCAACTTGTCTCACAGATCAAACATTAAAAGGTGAGGAAACTGATAGAAATGACCTAGAACCATACGGAGTTTGAGACGAGTAGGTTGAATAATTAGTTTTTTTACCAAATGCATTAAATAAATGGTTGATCATTTTTAGATTTAACTCCTAATATTGTCTCGTCCTCGTCATGATTTCAGCCACGGGGCTCGAACGTTCAGCTTCATACGCGCATCGCATCAGCTGCGTCATTCCAACTTCTTTTAAACCTTCAGAGGAAAACGGGTGAAACGGGCTTCAGTTGTCGAACGTAAAAAATGAAACTTTACGATCCTCGCAGGAAGTCTGATGTCATGACGGGATGTACAAAATGTGTCGTTTTAGAAAAAAAACACCAACTTAAGAATTTGCTGCAGCCAAAAACCATTACATAAAAAGCAAGAACATGCATATTATTAAAATTTATAGGGTTTTATAATGTACAAGTACATGGGTGACTTTAGAAAAAAGGTTAATGTAACAGCTTTATTCTGTTTAGAATAAAAATGGGAAGATGCCACGTCGACGGGAATATTTGGTACAAGAGGGAAGTTTGTCTTAAATTAGTTTTGCTAATTATTTGCGATTACTAATTCTTTGGGCGATTCAACGAATCGTGGAGAAGATGCTTAAAAAAAAGAGCTTTTGTTGGAGCCGTGAGAGTGAACAGCAGAATCTGTCGACTCTTGGATGATCCGTGATGTTTTGTGTTCGAGACAATTTATGACTTCATCTTAACGGCGCCGGAGCAACACCCTCATCACAGTTTTGTGTATTTGCATTGCAGTTCAATGATGTTGGCTGTAAGAAAATAATGTTTATCTGTAGCAGCCTGGTGCTAATCCCTTTGGTGGTTAACGCTTGATGAAGTTTGAAACTTAAATCTTCCACCGTCACGTTGGGAACCAGTCTCAGCTACTACCACGTTACCGTAAAACTGACGCTTTCTGTGTTTACTATGATTGCTTTGCTCTTAAACTAGATAACGTCAAAAGTTGCTCGGTTGCAGACGTCTTGATTGCTTTCTGATTAACATCTGTCCAATCTAGAAGATATTTTGCTAACTACAAACAAATATGCGCACACTGCCATGGCAAAATACAGTAAAGTGTGAGGGGGTGTTTATCTAAAAAACTGTTACTTCAGAAAAGTCCATCAAGTGTTGGGATTATTTGACTGAACCCTCAGATGGTGACCTAGTTTATATTTTGACAACTATTGCTGCGACTCGACTTTTTGACAAATACATCGGCTAAACATCACGTTTGATTGTCAGAAAATCTCTAATATACGTCTGAATAGACCAGATCCTTTCAATTTGTACATATATTCTATAATAAAACTCTGATTACTGCAGCACGTTTCCCAAACAAAAGGGGAAAAAATAGTAAGTTTACTAAAATATTGTCCACGACCGTTGACATCAGTACCAGCTACATCAGCTCTACGGACCAAAACATCGAATCCACTCCAATCACTGCACACCGTGCTAACTAATACAGTGGCATGGGCACGTTTGCATTATTTCATTTCTAACAATTGTGAATTTATAACTTGAATCATTAGTTATTCAAAGTGCTTTACAGAAAACATTAGACTCGAAACGAAGTGACAAGAGGAGGAACGTTTAAAATTTTCAGTTTACAGATTAATTGGTTTGTACAGCCGGGGTCTTATAAGGTTTTATTTGCTTGTGGGTTTCATTTAAATGGTACTTTAACAACATGCAGCACTACCTACTATTATTAATTCAACCACTGGGTTAAACTCCTGCGTATACTATCCTACATAAACAAATACTCTCTCACTTCCTGTGTTTCAGTCTCGAACGCCTTCCTGCAACGACGGAAGAAAACAGCCGCGTATCGCTTCATGAACATCTGGCACGGAGGCTTTTGGCACGTTAAGTGGAAATTAAGAGACTTGGGATGTAAAACGAGTGTGAAAAACAGAAATGACAAACACGTCAATCTAAATATGTACATTAACGCAATCATTTGATCTTTTTGAAAACACTTCCGTGTCAATTTCGGAGAATTTATCGCTTTATCATCCCTTCTCTCCGTTTAGGCTTTCTCCTTTAACTTTAATCACTAACATCTGTTTTCTTTAACAAATAAGTTGCCTCAAAGATATAATCTTGGGTCAGTGCCACCCTCCTACATTTTAAAGTGTGCGTCTTATAATAAGTTAGTTGTTGACTCTTCAGAATTGATCCAAGATTAGTCTCGGAGCATCTTTGATCCGTTTTGGCACCTTTTTCAAACTAACCATCGCAGCTTCCAACTCCTTTCAGGCCTCGCTGTGTCCGTTTGTGTCCCTCCCTCAGAATATTCAGACCTAAACTGGACCCGGTCGGCCCGACCCGGCTGCTCTCAGTGAATAACCGGGGCCGATCGGTCGTTAGTCATCGCCTGCTTGAGCTTGACTCCTCGTCGGATGTCCACCAGGAAGTCCTCCACCTCACAATATTCTGCCTCCTCCAGGAGTTCAGGGAGACGTCGACGCTCCCACTCAGACACCCGACCGCCTGGCTGTGGTGGGGGGGTGGGAGGATCTGAGCCTTCGTCCAGCTGCAAGGTCTCCCAGGCAACAGACTTTGGTGAGAGTGGTCCGTTGCTGCCGGGTGACAAAGGGGTGCTTGGTGGACTTAGTGGGGTCCGTGGTGTACTAGCTTCAGAAGGTGCTCTGGTAGGGAAGCCAGGGTGTTCAGGCACAGTGGGGGTCTTGACTGGGATCATGGGGGGTTTAATGGGAATGGGGCCAAGGTTGAGGCCCCCGGAGGGTCGCCGCAAGTTGGGTTTGGAGGACGGAGTCCGTCTAATAGTGGCGACCCCCGGGGTGATGATGGCTGAAGGGTTGGAGGGGAGGCCGGCGGTTGAAGCGGGGCGTTTGGACTGAAACATGCGGCGGTACGACTGACTGATGTCGCTGTTCCTCGGGATGGTGGACGACTTGTCGAAGTCTGAGGGACGGTGCTGCTCAGCCTCGTGGTCCGCGCCAACAGAGTAGTAATCGCAGTCCGACACTACGGAGAACAAAGAAGGAAGTCCAGTACTTCAAATCTGAGGGTTAGTTCACAACAAAGCAAGTTCTTATATTTGCCACAGAAAATAATACTCAGTCCAGTATCAGGAGATGATGGTAACGGTTGCCAGTCAGGGACATTTATTCATATCACAGATGAGCTCACCAACATATTAAGGTTTGTTTGGCAAATGGTACCAAAACAAAAGCAGCATCGCGATCAAGCTTGTTAGAAAGATGATTTTCTGACTTCTGCACAAGAGACCACCGCCTCCTGTCACTTTGAGATGCGCAGTAGTCCCTCGATACTTTGCGGTTCGACTTTCGGGCGTTTGCAACGCAAGACTGTACACGACACACGATTGTCATCTAATATTAGTCATGTGATTGGGACTGTACGAAATAAAAAGTGAACGGGTGCGGACGGGAGCGTGAATCAACCGATGGGACAATAAATAAAAACTTTGGACAAGCACCGCCATTTTGTAGTTTTCTTTCAATAAGCCTACACTGTAACGCAAGTCAAAAGAACTACACGGCCCAGAAGCCAACGGTGCTTTCTGCCACAATTCAAAGACTAGCGGAGAGTCCGATGTGATAAAAATAGTTTTGCAACGCAGAGTCAGAAGTAACAATCCATTTATCAGTCTCTCAGAACCGGCAGTAGTATTTTCTCTGGTGAGTACCCAGATAAGATCTTTCAGTACTGCACAGTACATATACATTTGCTGGTAAACGTACGTAGGTTTAAGAGGGTTGAACATTGCAAGAGTGTGGGAAGGGTTTATAAAGCTTTCAAATGTATATAAATACTAAAATAAATTAAACGTCCCTACTTTGTGGATTTTCACCTATCGCGGGGGGTGTCTGGAATGTAACCCCCGCGATAACTGAGGGACTACTGTACCGACGCTACAGACGTACGTTTAACCTCTGACCACTTGAACGATTTTCTTCGTTGTAAAGAAAAACCAACCGGTTACCTGGAGGTCCCTGTTTCTGATGCGGTTTCCTTACAACAACTTTACATGAGCACACCTTGTGAAGGGATGGTGTCCTCGGAGCAGCAGGGTGTGTTGGTCTGGCTGCTGTAGCCACTGGAGCCCTGCAGAGAGTCCCGGCTGCAGCCGTGGATGTCCAGGTGGAGACCCCGAGCCAGCACTCGGGCCAGCTCCTCATGGGCTTCTTTGTCACCCTGATCATGATGAAGAGCATCGTTATAAAAAACTTTACGCGTTTCTGATTTGTATAGCCATCACAAAACTGATTCCAGTATGGGTCTGTTTTTTTTATTTAAAGATATTTCTAAAAGTCCATCTGACCTTTGGAGACATCACAGAGTGGCTCCCTTTGACCCCCTGTGGCTCCTCCCCTGCTGTAATGACGTCTGTGCCCTGGTGGCTGATGGGATCTGAAGTCTCTCTTCTGTCTTTGCTCCTCCTCAGAGTGTTGACCATTGGCTGGTCGTACGGACCCGGTTTGGCCCAGTCCTACGAAGGAACACACGAACCAAATGATGCGTAACGGTGTTGTGCAATATTTGATAGAATATTAATTCTCAAATTTTTGTTTTTCTTAGACCAAATAGGAAAAAAATATAGATTTTACGCAGAGAAAAATTCTGTTGAGTGAAGTTAAAACGTTTAACTTGAGGCAGCAAATACTTGGAATGTTTCTGATAATTTGACTTATTCTCTGTTACGTTAAGTAAAATCTTGAGTTAAAGTCACGTTTCAAACGGTAGCAGCTTTAATCTGAGCTCCTGCCAGTGGGGTGAATAAAATAAAATGACTCATGAACAATGAAACGAGGATAAAGTGAAGGAACGGAGGGAGGACATCATGGAGGAACGCAGGTCAAACCTTCCAGGACGGGACTCTGGATGAGGGGATCGCTCCGGTCCCTGGAGGGCTGAGAGGCGGGAACTCTCCCGATTGGCCGAAGCCTGAGCGAGGCCACGTGGGAGAAACGGACTGACAGGAGGGCGAGGACATGGGAGAGGTGGCGGTGGAGGGAGAGGAGTAGGTGAAGTATGAAGGGTGGAGGTGGGTGTCCTGGGCCTGCAGCAGCACTCCATGCAGACAGAGGGCAGCGTGATGCTCAAAGCCGTTTGTCAGCTGAAGGTGAGTGGATGAGAAAGGCACAGAGACAAATGAAAAAAAAAAAGACTAATGAAAACGAGACAAATCAGATTTTTTTTTATTTTTGCTATTTTGCGTGTCGTGTTAAAAACACAATTTACGTGATTTAAATCCATCAAGCAGCTTTTATCTGTGTGTTTCTACATGTGTTCACCTGTAGCTGCCCGGAGCTGGGCCCGGGGTGCGAGGGGGAGGAAGGGGAGGCCTCCTCATTGACAGACTGAGAGAACAAAGCAGAGACGCACAACTGCAGCAACACAAACACAGAAACTGAGCCAGCACTTCACGGGAAGCACAGAAAACGAGTAGAAACTAAAGACGAACGGCCAAAAAACCCTGAAAGTCTCAGGGAGGGTCAGAAACACGAAGCGGGGAATTCAGTAAACGAGACAAAACATTTTAACACGTGCAGTGAAATGTGACGACAAGATCACTCAGTTTGTACTCGTGCAATATTGCAGAATCTTCTATGTGACGTTAGGATGACTCAGCTACTTCTATATCACTTTTTATCTCAATATCTGTAAAACTGATTGAGGTACATCCATTTCTGCGTTAGTTTAAATTGATCAGTGGCAGCCATCTTGAACTGAGTCGGTTATTACTCTACACCCAATATTTCAGAAAACTATTTAAAATCCATCCGATGGTTCAAAAGATATTTTGCCAACAGATGGGCAGACGTTATAGACGGCTAATGTTTAAAAACATCTTGTGTGTTCAGGTAGTGCTTAGAGACTGGGGTGACTCAGTTACTACCACAACAAATTTTAGCGCAATATCTGTAAAATTGTCTAAGTTATGCCCAATTTTGTGCTTAAGTTTGCTTAGCTGTGGTGGCCATCTTAATCAGCTACATAAAATACACTTATGAAGCATTGAACAGAGGAGCTGTTCAATGCTTCATTAGA